AATCAGGCTGCATGAATTATTAGCAAGACGGAGAATAATATTTTTTACTTCTCTCATTAACCCACACTTTTCTACATCACCAACTAAATTTATTTCACCGGATTTTGAACCAGAACAAAAATATCTGTCACAATTGTCATGTTGTCCAAATCGGTGATATGGACTATTTTCAATATCTTTTCGTAGATCTAAATGGGTATTAAATAAAGAAAAACAATTATAGAATGTAAGAATATAATTGTTGTTGAATAAAATTATATAATCAGCAACTGTCACTTAATTTTATAATTGATAAAAAATATTTACCAAGTTAAAAAGTGAACTGTTTATATAATTATATTTTTACAATTTAAATTATATTAATGTACAATAGTTAAATATGAATCAAATTTTAAACCTGCTATTTTGTTTGGAATAGATAAACCACTCATCTTACGATGCTGTACAGCTTTTGTTATGTCACTTCTAAATCGAAGAATATTGTTTTGTATAAATTTTCTTATATGAACAGGATATTCGGTTTTTTTGGTTAGTGCTAACAATTTTTGACAAGAATTTCGTAACAGATGGTTCCTACATTCAATTTTTTCAACCGTAAAATGAGGACCATATGGTAGTACCTCATTCAAACGTTTGATAACGCTGCTGTCACCATCGCCTATTTAATAATGATGTTTATTGTATTTACATAATTATAAATTTATAACAAATTATGTTTTTATAAATATACCTATGAGTTTATTATACTTAAGACCGTGCATTTGAACACTGTTCAAAAACCCTTCCAGTATACCATCAGCTTCCATCCCGGTTGAACTACTTGTCCAATTTAAAAAACATTTATGTACTGGTTTATTTTCGTCTCTATCCGATGCTCTTTGACAAATTGAACAATAACGATTTCGAATACCGACGAACAAAACTTTGCGTGTATTATAACCAATAATAGTTGCCGCTCCAGAAAATGCATCATATTTAGTTTTATAAGACCTTTTAGACCATTGGCCATCCGCAATAACGGTACACATCGGTATACCGTCTTCATCTAATATACCATTTTTTAATGCAATTTCTCTCTCTTCATCTCCCGCCTTTTTCATTTCGTCCCACGCTGAAGCATGCACTACATTTCCGACTGATGACAATATTGATTGGTATGTATTGGATGACATTGAAGGTATATCGATACAGGCCGAAAGTTCAAAAAGTTGTGCATATCCAATACCTATTAATATAATCTTATTTTGTTTAAATAGGTCATTTATGGGTGTTTTCAATACTTGATAGTCTTACCTATAGCTAGTGTAGCATTTACTACTGCTTTATTTATTGGAATACATTCAAAATTGTTAGGTTTTTCAGAAGATATTTTTTTTTCAATACCACACATTTTACAATGAAAATAGAAAATTGAGAAGAAACCATTTATTTCTTCTCTTTTAAAAATCATATCTAAAAATGAACATCCAAATCCACCACTATGACGACTATTTTGAATTTCATTGAAAATATGACCTATATCAACTATTCTACGGCCATTTAAAATATCCATACTACAAAATAAATAGTAATATATAAACATAGATTTACTTAAAATATTAAAAATAGTTATTAATATCACATACTTGAAAGATGATGTACTGGGTTCATTTGATATGGTTAAACTATGGCTATTAATGTTTGATTCAATGTCAGTAATGTCACTATATAGTATATATACAATAGCAAAGATAAATAAAATAGTAAAATTATATAACAAATAACTATGTAATATTATATAAATAATAAACATACTTATCTAGAATTGAGCTAGGTTCCACTATTTTATCATCAAACGAAAAATTATTTATTGTAGCAATACGTCTTGACAACAAAGTATTAGTATGCATAGGCGTAGAAGTTACTAAAGAACATCTAACAAGAAATAAAGATTCGTAAATACATAAAAATACGAGATTGCCATATATAACAAATACGAAAGTATCATATAGTTAGAATGTGGATTTTTCTGATAAAATCAACGTAAAATTCAGTAAATTGGTACATTTAAGTATAAACACATTTTATTTTTCAATGAGAGAATACGTGATACGACTAATAAGTGCCTAATTTTTTACCTTTTCAAAACTCTTATTAAAATGCAGATATACATGGATAAATATTTGGATAGCCAAAAGTAAAAATTCTCCAGTAATTTTCAAACTAATGTGTCAGGAAAAAAAATATACATTTTACGCAAAACCAATTTTTGACAAAGTCGATTTAAATTATATAAATATATGGTCTACTATTAAAGATTATAATATATAGTTGCAATTTTTTTTATAAGCATTTCAAATGTTCAAATTAATCTTACCTTGATATAGATGGAGACAAAAAGCCTTTTTGTGGTGAATTATTTACATTTTCTTCTGCAGGGCTAAAATAATTATAATTACATTTAAAAAAATTAAACACGATATACATTTATCACTCTTTAATAAAAAAAAAAAGCGGGTAAGTGGATGTCGCTCTGCTGTACAGTTGTAGGTTACAAGTGGGTCACTGTATAGTATATAATGGATGGAATTAAATTTGAATTCAATGATACAATATCATTGTATAAGAAAAACGATTCTGAGTGGAGACGGTATGTCAGTCTTGGTTTAAGACATATTAATACCAATATATCTGAGTCAAAATTCGAATTTTAAATGCTTATAAAAAAAAATTGTGCCTATGTATTTTAAATATTTTACAATTGCTATTGTAAAAATATATCAGGAGCCTTGTATTAAAT